GGGCCAGTGTAACTGTTTCACTCGTACAGTTTTAACTCCACTACACTTCCCTGGAGTGCTTAGAAAGTCCTAAGAGTGGCCTAAGAATAGCGAGGACAAACAGCTGCCATGTTTTAACAGCTGGTGTCTATAATTTGACCTCTGATCTCTATCTTGTAAGAGTGCAGGGCGGGGGTGGGGTGGGGGGGGTGGCAGCGGCGGCGGCTCATGCCTGTAATCCTAGCACTCTGGGAGGTTGAGGTGGGAGGATCGCTTGAAGTCAGGAGTTCAAGACCAGCCTGAGCAAGAGTGAGACCCTTCTTTATGAAAAACAGAAAAATTATCCGAGTGTGGTAGCATGTACCTGTAGTCCCAGCTACTTGGAAGGCTGAGGGGAGAGGACTGCTTGAGCACAGGAGTTTGAGGTTGCTGTGAGCTATGACAGCACTGCAGTCTACCCAGGCGGGAAAAAAAGTAGGGACTCAGAAGCCAGGCTGCTCATAATCAAATCTGAGCTCTACAACCTCCTCATAGTTTAACCTTGGGCAAAGTTCTTTCACCTTTGTGTTTCCTCACGTATGATGGGGCTCAGAGTACCTACTCTGAGGGCAGGTAGGATAGAAAATGAGTGCCTAGTACTAGGATAGGTGCAAAATAAGCATGCAGGGTCAACTGCCACCACCTGGTTTCACACGGTGGCACAACGCTGACATCTAGTGGCAGGTTGTAGGGACACCTCTTCATCAAGTAATCAGTAAAATGATTCCTCAGTCCTGGGCCTTTTTTCTGAGACTCTGAAGGGTCTGCATATTGCACACATCACTAGAATAATGTTCTTTAACTCTGGGAAGCAGCTGTTTTAAAATGAGATAACATGCAAGGTACCAAGCATAGAAACTGCCTGGGAAATAACTGTTACTATTTCTTGAGCCCCTGTGTGAGGCAGTGAACCTCACGACTACCCTGTGAGGTTGAGACTATTGTCCCTGCTTTACTAATGAGGGACCTGAGGCTTGGAGAGGTTCTGTGACTTGCTCAGGGTCACCAGGCTCATGAGAGGGGCTGGGCTCTGGACCCACAGTCTGCTGTGGGTGCTCACTGCCCAGCACCCTGCCTTTCCTGCCGCAGGCCTGGGATTGCCTGGGGCCATGGGGTCACCCGCCCGCTTCCCACTGGAGACAGAGAGAGCCACTGCGGTCAGGGAGGAGGGGGCTGCCTCGCCAGGGCCCTCACTTAGGACTCAGCCAAGAGGCGGGCAATTGCCTGGTACCAGTTCCCAGTACTGAGCATGCCAAAGCACCACACTTCGGGGCATAGTTTCCTGAGCCCCAACACACACTATTAGCCTGGGATGTAGTAAACATTTGTTAAATATTAATTCAAAGTTGAAAGGACACACTGTATTGTAATTTGTTGTTAGATAAAGACATGAGTGTCCACGTTCTTTAACAGGGAGTTCCAGGAGAGCCCAGATGCCTGGCGCACTGTAAGTACTTACTAAATGTTTGCTTTAGGTCTGCTTCTCAGCAGCATCTCACTGAGCAGGGACAATGCAGAGGTTCCTTAAAAGGCACAGTAGGCCCTCATCAACAGCGAAGCAAGGACTCCCAATAGTTTTAAAAGAAATGTGACTCTGATAATTGTTTTCTAAGGCCTCATTGTAATTGATTAGGGGGAAAATCATATTTTCGGACCTCACGCTTATTCCAAAGTGAAGTATTGTGTCCGTTTTGAATTGCATGTGGGGTGGAGCTGGTACACAGGGCTTTTCATGTTCACAGCCTCAAAAGGCCCTGATCTATCCCAGTCTTCTCTGTAGACCCAGCACCTTGTCCCAGCATGGTGAAGTCATCAGCCTTTCTTGACAAACAGGAAACCACCTAAGAAAGGAAGGACGATTGGTGTTTATTTGTGCTCAATTGGAAGAATATATAGGCAACCTCCCCTCTTACTACCTCTGGAGAAACTGACAGAGGAAAAAGTGAGACATTGCAAGAAGACAAGCATATCCTTTTTTGACTACTTGCCTTTTATAAGAGGAGCATGAGCCATGACCCTTCTGAGGGGCAAGGAGAATTATCATACCTTTTCCACCCAACATTTGCTAGAGCCAGTTCCTATAGGTTAGTGGGAGCTGATTTCTAAATTTTTGAGAATATTAAAACAGAGACAAACACAGCCATTATTAAAAGTTAAGTTATATAGACTTAGGCTTAAATAAATCATTTTAAAAACAAAGGTAGGCCAGGCATGGTGGCTCATAAATGTAATCCTAGCACTCTGGGAGGCCAAGGTGGAAGGTTGGCTCGAGGTCAGGAGTTTGAAACCAGCCTGAGCAAAAGCCAGACCCCGTCTCTACTAAAAATAGAAATAAATTAATTGGCCAACTAAAAATATATAGAAAAAATTAGCCGGGCATGATGGCACATGCCTGTATTCCTAGCTACTCGGGAGGCTGAGGCAGAAGGATCTCTTAAGTCTAGGAGTTTGAGGTTGCTGGGGTGCTAGGCTGATGCCATGGCACTCTAGCCCAGGCAACAGAGTGAGACTCTGTCTCAAAAAAAAAGACAAAGAAACAACAACAACAACAACAAAGGTAATAAACACTCAAAAGTTGGCTGGGTGTGGTGGCTCAAGCCTGTAATCCCAGCTTTGGGAGGCTGAGGTGAGAGGATCACTTGAAGCCAGGAGTTCCAGACCAGCCTGGGCAACACAGTGATATCTTGTCTCTACAAAAAATTTTAAAAATTGGCCAGATGTGGTGACATGCACTTGTAGTCTCATCTACTCAGGAGGTTGAGGTGAGAGAATCGCTTGAGCTAGGAGTTCAAGGTTACAATGAGCTATGATCAAGCCACTGCACTCCGGCCTGGATGACAGAGCAAGACTGTCTCTAAAACAAAAAAAGCTAACCAACCAAACAAACTTAGTTCTGTTGCTACATTTTACATTTCACTATTACTTATGTTCCTCATATTATTGACATCTGTTGTACCTGTGTGGTGGGTGTGTGCATAGCATCTACTCCCAATTCTGATTTCAGTGACCTCATCCTGGCAGCTTGAAAGTGACAATGATGGGGGTATTGACACCATGGAAATGGGCAAATGCTACAAATGAGGGTTTGATTTGTGGTGATTGTCTACTTAAGAAAGTGATGGAGAAATGTTAATCATGCAGATTTTTTTTTTTTTTTTTTTTGAGAGCAGGTCTCGAGTTTGTTGCCCAGGCTAGAGTGAGTGCTGTGGTGTCAGCCTAGCTCACAGCAACCTCAAACTCCCTGGCTCAAGCCATCTTCCTGCCTCAGGCTCCCGAGTAGCTGGGACTACAGGCATGCGGCCATCATGCCCGCTAATTTTTTCTATATAGTAAGTGCCAATTAATTTCTTTTTTTTTTTATTTTTTTTTTTTTGAGACAGAGTCTCACTTTGTTTGCCGCGGCTAGAGTGAGTGCCGTGGCATCAGCCCTGGCTCAAGCACCTGCAATCTCCTGGGCTGCAGGATCCTCACTGCCTCAGCCTCCCGAGTAGCTGGGACTACAGGCATGTGCCACCATGCCCGGCTAACTTTCTTGTATATATATTTAGTTGGTCAATTAATTTTTTCTATTTTTGGTGAGAGCGGGGTCTCGCTCAGGTTGGTTTCGAACTCCTGACCTTGAGCGATCCGCCCGCCTCGGGCCTCCAAAGTGCATAGGATTACAGGCATGAGCCACCGCGCCCGGCCATTTCTTTCTATATATAGTGAGACGGGGTCTCACTCTGCTCAGGCTGGTTTCGAGCTCCTGACCTTCGAAGCTCACCTGCCTCGGCCTCCCAGAGTGCTAGGATTATAGGCGTGAGCCACCGCGTCTGGCCAATAATGCAGATTAAACTTGAAACTGTATCATGTTCATGGCCTTTTTACTGTGAATAGCACCAAAAAAAGAGGAAATATTCTTCTAGTACCTGAATACTATTATTTGAGCAAAAGAATCTCTCACTCACGTCATTAAGGTATGAGTGAAGCCTCAAAGGAGTGAAGTTGAGAAGGAATGAAATACCTACTGTAAGTTTGGAAGGAGTAAAGATCCAATGTTGGGGCAGGGTATGGTGGCTCACGCCTGTAATCCTAGCACTCTGGGAGACTGAGGCAGGAGGACTCCTTGTCAGGAGTTCCAGACCACCCTGAGCAAGAACAAGACTCCGTCTCTACTAAAAATAGAAAAAATTAGCCATGTGTAGTGGTATACACCTGTAATCCCAGCTACTCGGGAGGCTGAGGCAGGAGGATTGCTTGAGCCCAGGAGTTTGAGGTTGCTGTGAGCTAGTCGAGCTAGGCTGACACCATGGCACTGTAGCCCAGGCAACAGAGCGAGACTCTGTCTAAAAAAAAAAAAAAGAATCGAACATTGGGTTTCATTGCTTCACTTCATAACTTAAAGGAATAAAGGAAAAATCAGTCAACATTCATGTCAGAACTATACTCCTTTATCAGTGGCAATGAGGCGAATGGGATAATAATCAGGCATTGATTTGTCTGATTTTGTGACATTGTTGGTGACAATTATAGAAATTGATGGTGAATTTTGATATACCTACTGAAGGTATATATGTATGGAGTTTACAATAGAGTATTGCATTTCATTATTTGTAAAGTATGGGCTATATATCTTTTATGTAAGTAAAATTTATTGTAACAAACTTTGTACCCACTTTGGGAGTCTGAGGCAGAAGGATCGCTTGAGGCCAGTTCAAGACCAGCCTCAGCAACATAGTAAGGCGCTCCCCCACCCCGTCTCCACCAAAAATAAAAAACAGACAAAACTTTGTGCCTATTCACACAGGTTTTTGCGGAGAGCCGGCTGTCAAGCACTGTGCCAGGCGCACAGTCAGGTTCTGGGGTGCAGCAGTGACCTGGCGGTGACGCCCGGTCCCCGCCCGGCAGCCTAAGCAAACTCCGACTGCGAAGGTCTCTCGCCGCAGCCGCCGCCAGGGGCCGCGCGCGAGGCAGGGAGGAGCTTCGCGCTTTGTCCCCCCACGCGGCCCGTCGCCCTCGCCCTGGCGGGAAAATCCGACCCGGCAGTCGGCCCACCGCCCCTTTCTGCCCTCGCGCGCTTGCCTCAGTCGGCCCGCTGTGATGGAGGAGGAGGCGGAGGCCGAGGAGCAGCAGCGATTCTCTTACCAACAGGTACAGGAAGAGGGGGCCCAGAGTGGGCTTGGCTAGGACCGCGTTGAGTTTTGGGACATGAAAAGGATCTGCAGCCTCAGTTGCTTTCTTTTCCGGCCCGCCGCTTGGTGCTGGGCACCCCCCTCCCCGCGCGCGTCTGCGCATGCGCTGGATCAGGATCTGCTACCGCTGGAGGTGCTGGGAGGCGGTTTCCGCGGCAACGCGGCTGGTCGCGGACTGCGCCGCCCCGGGCACAGGCTGATTCCCGGAGAGCGCCCGGGAGCGCGCGGGCGCTGGTTTCCGACGCCGGTCTTCCGGCTTTGTGACTCGGCCTGGGTCTCCCCTTTTCACGCGGGGTTGTGAGGGTGGAATGTGGGCATTAAAGGAGAGAATCGAGGTAACGCACTTAGCGCTCTGAGACGCTGGTTCCCCGGAACCCTGAGCTCCCCTTTTTACAGGTGAGGGGGCCGCGCCGCAGAGCCGCGATTCGGACCAGGCAGGCCGGCACCGAACTCGTCTCGGCCCGCCTTTGACCTGTGATTGTGTGGACTCTGGCGGAAATGCAGTTTTCTTCTATGTAAAATCGGAGTACAAATAACCACCTCCCCGGTAGTTGTGGGTATTCCAGTCGTTCCTTTAGTCAGCACCGGGAATACAGGGTGGCAGAGTCAGGACATGACAGTGCCGTGAAGTGGTGAAGAGAAAGGCCTGGAGTGATAGCCTCAAAGAGGATTGACTGAGGAAACACGAGGAAGAGCTCAGGGCATAGGAGTTTCCTGTCTAAAAAGCGTTCACGTTTCAGCATTTTGCTGTATTTCCTCGCTATTTATTCTGAATTATTTGAGAAGTAATTGCAGATATCTTGACATTTCACTTTTTTTTTTTGGAAGACAGAGTCTTGCTTTGTTGCTCAGGCTAGAGTGAGGGCCATGGCGTCAGCCTAGCTCACAGCAACCTCAGACTCCTGGGCTCAAGCAATCCTACTGCCTCAGCCTCCCGAAAATCTGGGACTACAGGCATGCGCCACCATGCCCGGCTAATTTTTTCTATATATATTAGTTGGCCAATTAATTTGTTTCTATTTATAGTAGAAATGGTCTCGCTCTTGCTTAGGGTGGTTTCGAACTCCTGACCTCGAGCGATCCACTCACCTTGGCCTCCCAGAGTGCTAGGATTACAGGCATGAGCCACTGCGCCCAGCTGACATTTCACCTTTACATTTCTTTTTTTTTAAGACAGAGTCTAACTCTGTTGCCTGGGCTATAGTGCCATGGTGTTAGCCTAGCTCACAGCAACCTCAATCTCCTGGGCTCAAACAGTCTTTCTACCTCAGCCTCCTGAGTAGCTGGAACTACCCACATGTGCCACCATGCCCCACTAATGTTTTCTATATATTTTTAGTTGTCCAGCCAATTTCTATTTTTAGTAGAGATGGAGTCTTGCTCTTGCTCCGGCTGCTTTCGAACTCCTGACCTCTGGTGATCCTCCCGCCTCGGCCTCCCAGAGTGCTAGGATTGCAGGTGTGAGCCGCTGCACCTGGCCTACATTTTAATACTTTAGTATGCATCCCCTGAGAACAAGGGCATCCTCCTACATCATTTTTAAATTATCACACTTGGGAAGTTTAATATTGATAAAATTCTATTATTGAATGTACAGTCTATATTCAGATGTTTACAATTGTCCTAAAGATGGTTCTTTTAGCTGTCTTTTTTTTTTCCTTCATCCAGGATCAGATCAAGGATGGGCATTGCATTTAGTAATCCCATCTTTTCGGTCTTCTCCACCTTCTTTTTGTCTTTGATGACATTGATGGTTTTGAAGAGTCCATTCATGGCAAAGGTGTACTGAGAGATAAACTTGAGAGTAGGGGTTGTCCTTTTCATTTTTGGGTTCTCAGCCGGTAGAACAGAGCCTGGCTGTCAATAGACAATAAATACTGATGAAATGAGGCTGCAAAGATGGGCTGAGAAATTTGACCCTCAGCTGTGGTGAGCCAGTAGAAGATCTCACCATTCATTCAACCAGCCATTCTTGGTACTAGGTACATAGCAGTAAACAAAACTGACAGGGTCCTGCCCTTGAGGAGTTTAGAGTATAGTGATTTAGTGTCCAAGTGCAGTGGTGTCTGCAGCATGGACGAAGGAGGAAAAAACTTCCTAGAGCCAAGAGCATTCAGGATCCTTGTCCTGTAACCCCACCCCATCCCATCCCATCCCAAAAAACATGACCTTGATCCAGAGAGGTGGGGCATGCCTGTTGTCCCAGCTATTCTGGAGGCTAAGACAGGAGGATCGCTTGAGCCCAGGTATTCAAGGTTGTAATATTAATAGCCGTGAATAGCCACTGTACTCCAGCCTGGGCAACATACCAAGACACTGTCTCTAAAAGAAAAAAAAGACCTTGGAGTTCATACCTCCTAGGTCTATGGTTCTTTGGCTCCTCCTTCCAGGAGCCTCAACTTAACCTAGTCTTGTGATATCTGAAACTGAGGAAGGTAAATGCCTTTCTCATCTGGCCTCTATCCCTGGTTCCCGAACTTGTGTTTTTTGCAGTTCCTCCTCATCTTGCCTATATAGTGAACACTTGCTGGTAGATTTTATGCTGTTTTAGTTTCAGCTGTCTCCATGTCCAGTTCAGGCTGTCTTTGGCTCAGAGACAGAACCCACTCTACAACAGCTTGTAGACAGGTGACTGAGACCGTTGCTTAGCTTGTTTTTCTTTTGTCTTGAGGTTCTTCCTTGTGTGTGTGTGTGTGTGTGTGTGTGTGTCTGTCTGTCTGTGTCTGTGTCTATCTGTCTCTCTCCTCCTCTGCATGGGGGAGAGATATGTTTTTTAGTGCCTGAAAGGGTTGCCAAGGAACAGTGAGGACCCTGCAGAGGAGGGCTAGCAGACTTATAAATCAGGAGGGTCAGGTGTGCCCTTAGGAGCCTGTCCTGGTCTTGTCCTGTATTTTTGTCCTTTGTGACATGCAGGCCTAGAGCTGCCAGGGACTTGCAGCCGAGGCATGGGATTCTGCTGTATGTATTTGATTAACCACCTGAAGGGCAAAATCCTCTGTCTGGTTTTTCACTGTGTTCCTCAAACACCTAGCATATGCCCTTGGCTCAGTGGGAACTCGCAGATAGTTGCGGAATGAGTAAAGTCATGCAGATTCTCTGATTTCTTTCCCTGATGACCTGCCCTCATAATTCCTTATCTTTACTTCACCTAAATCATAACCATTAACAAGGAAGTAGTGTTTCTACAAGTCACATACCAGAGGGTCTCACTAATTTATTAGTATGCTTGAAAAGTTACTCAGCTATTATGAAAGATGCTGAAGGAATTAGGCTGAGCAGAGTCTCTCCCTGGTGTTAATTTTTTAAGGTGTGAAAGTTTCCATTTGCAACCTTACCCATGAAATATTTTGATTTTTCTCCCAGAGGCTAAAGGCAGCAGTCCACTATACTGTTGGTTGTCTTTGTGAAGAAGTTGCATTGGACAAAGAGATGCAGTTCAGCAAACAAACCATTGCAGCAATTTCGGAGATGACTTTTCGACAGTGCGGTATGAAGCCTTGGTCTTCCTATCTGTATAAATTCCAAAGGCTGATTTTGTCTGGGAGCTGTGGTATGTCTCTGGCCAGCAGACAGAGAACATTTTCATCATCACTCATTCTTCATGAAACGTTTCTTTTTCTTGGCTATAAGATTCGGATATTTTTTTTTTTTTTGAGACAGTCTCACTTTGTTGCCCAGGCTAGAGTGAGTACCCTGGCATCAGCCTAGCTCACAGCAACCTCAAACTCCTGAGCTCAAGCAATCCGGCTGCCTCCCCTCCTGAGTAGTTGGGACTATAGGCATTAACCATCATGCCTGGCTAATTTTTTCTATATATATTAGTTGGCCAATTAATTTATTTCTATTTATAGTAGAGACGGGGTCTCGCTCTTGCTCAGGCTGGTTTTGAGCTCCTGACCTGGAGCAATCCGTCTGCCTTGGCCTCCCAGATAGTTAGGATTATAGGCGTGAGCCACCACGATCGGCCAGATTTGGATATTTTATGGGAAGAACTGTTTTCTTTTTTTCTATTATGCTAACACTGGGGCGCAAACACCTTTATTTTTTATTTGTTTATTTATTTTTTTTTTGAGACAGAGTCTCACTTTGTTGCCCAGGCTAGAGTGAGTGCCGTGGCGTCAGCCTAGCTCACAGCAACCTCAATCTCCTGGCTCAAGTGATCCTCCTGCCTCAGCCTCCCTAATAGCTGGGACTACAGGCATGCACCACCATGCCCGGCTAATTTTTTGTATATATATATATTTTTACTTGGTCAATTAATTTCTTTCTATTTTTAGTAGAGACGGGGGTCTTGCTCAGGCTGGTTTCGAACTCCTGACCTCGAGCAATCCGCCCACCTCGGCCTCCCAGAGTGCTAGGATTACAGGCGTGAGCCACCACGCCCAGCCAACTCCTTTATTTTATTGTGTTTTAAGCTGCCCTGATGGCTGGAACATTAGACATTACATTTTTTATTTCAATGCTTTATAACATTTTGATATCGCCCATGGTTTATTTAACAGCTGAACTTATGGCATTGGTATTTGCTTGACTTCAGAGGGAATTAATGTCTTTACAACCCCTAACTGTAGAAGAATTTAAAGTTAAAGGATAGTTTCTAGAAACCAAAGGTGTAGTCACAATTAATGGAAGGCTTGCAATAGAGGGTAGAGAGTTCTGGGAAGGACAAGAAGGTCATAATGAATAAAAAAGCTAAAGGTTTTTATAAAATGGCAGGGCTGCCGGAAGTGCCTCCTCTCACCTTTAATATGGTTTGTTGTATTAATATTGGTCACGGTACTGATTGTAGAAATCAAGACTGAGGTAAGGGTAGCTAAAGTGTATGTCTTGTCTTTTTTTTTTTTTTTCAGAAAATTTTGCCAAAGACCTTGAAATGTTTGCAAGGTGGGTAGAGACCTTGAATATCCGATGCTGCGTCTATTTACATTCTTTTGAGACTCTCCATCTGGTAGGATATTTCAGGAGAGCTTTAGCTATTCATTTTTTTGTGTGTTTTGTGGAGGCTTGTTTCTAATCATGACTCTGCAAGAATATAATGTCTGCTTTAATCATGTCGATTCAGACTTGTTTGGGCATTTTTTGAAGTTTTCCTAGCGTTTTTTGTTAAAGAACCGAAGTCATTCAGTTCTAGGTTAAAAAAGATGTGAATAACGTCTCTGGGAGTCTGAATGGGAGTAGAGTGAGCCTGCTTCAAAACACGTCTTTGGGAGGGCTTGATGGCTCAGGGTCTGAGACGCAGTCTAGGGTGGCCGCCCCTCTGCCGAGTGGGCCACTGCGTGCTCCGTGTGGTAATTGCTCGCAGGTGGACAGATAATGACAGGCAGAGGCTTTCATTTGCCACATTTGTCATGAGTAAGGCACACTCCTTGGAAAGTGGGTGACTTGCTTTCAGCTGGTAGAGCTCTAGCTTTTATAGGTGATTTATGCCCCTCTCTTCAATTAGTACCCCAGGTAATTGAAAACAATTGCATCGAATTGCTTTTATGAAGCAATTTGAATGACTAAGGCCTGAAAGGGCTAAAGCTTTCTAATTTGCTGCCACTTCCATTCGGTGCCAGCTTCTCCCACACCCCATACTTTTCACCTTGCTCCCGTTAGCTCTTTGTTTCTCAAATGCATATTTTGAATGAATTAAAGCAGTGGGTTCTCAGAGGGCAGGCTCTAAATCTTTCGTGTTCCTGTATATATTAGTCCCTAAAAACTGCTCAGCATCTCCAGCTTGGCCAAAAGGGGTAAGATAGTAGTATGGCTACTGATAGCTCATGTGGCTTATTCATCGAATTCAAGCAGTTGCTCCCCCCCCCCAAATATATTTATTACCTTTACTTGCCATTTCTGTGTTAGCTATGGAAAAAGACAATTAAAAATTTTAAATACTGTTGTAAAAATTCTAGAACTAAAAATGAATTTATAACCATTTGCATAGTAACACATTAAGCTTTCAGGTATTCTGGGTCTTTTATAGTTACCTACATGGTTGATTTTTCTTCTGCTGGGTACTGAGGGGTAAGGTGGGCTGTGTGTGACAGAGACAGACTTAGACTGTCAGCTCCACAAGGAAGGACATCATCTTGTATGTAAAAGAGTGTGTGGGAAGGCATTCAGCTGCTGTTCTCTAAGATTGACCACCAGAGACTTTCTTAATGGTAAGAGATGGCTCATCTTCAGCAGTGTCCGTGTGTGTCCAGCGCTCCTGAGGCTGCCTCTGCCTCCTGAGCCCCCGGGCGAGTGCAGAAACCAGTCCTGAGGCTCTTGTGGGTTGGGGCAGCACCTTTCTTCCTGGCTCAATCCATACGTGCAAAGTTTCTTTGAAGACTTCTCCTTTGCCTAAATTTTACATTCATTTTCATGATATGTCAGTTTGCTTTCATACAAAAAACTATTGTTTCAACATTTATCCCTGAATATTGGTATTCCCCGAAGGTCAGCTTTGGTTATCCTGTGGCTTTGAGTTGTCCCTATCATATTTCGTCTACTCCCAAGACTATGATTACCCCACTTTGAGAAATCTAAGATATGTACTGTTTCAGGTAAATTATATATTAAATAGTCTTGTAGGCTGGCCTGGGGACCTAACCAGTATTTGTAATGTTGTTTCTATGAGAAAATGCATTTAAATTCCAAATAATCAATCCACCTATAAACTTCGGAAAACCAGCTCCCAATTTAAGTTGTGAACATTTACTTTATTTAGCTCTGAGATCTCTAGTCTCCTCATATTGTTAATTTTGAAGAAGATTGATATTCTATAGTAAATAAATTCCAGGAACATTAGGGAATAGTCTTTAAAACCTGTGTTGTTAAGAATGTTACATGAAAAATTGCTTTGTTACTTTCCCTAGTAATTTTCTGGAGCCAGAGCTTTAATTTAGGATAGTCTGTGATATACAGTGGCTGGCATAGGCTACGCCTGCCCCTCCATCTAGGAAAGTGGTACAGTGATACTAGAGAGTGAGTGGTAGAGAAGATTGAGAGTCACTTTCTAGACACTTCCTTGTGAACACATAAGATAAGCTTGCTCTGTAAGCAGTTCAGTATGCTTGTTCCTTTTACTGTAGTTTAAGAAGAATATACATACACACATAGCAGCCAGGTTGTGTGATTGAGACTGGGCCATGCTGTGTCCATGGCACTTAATATTCTCCACCCAGAACTTCTGTAGACTGGCTTTGTACTCTGTGGCTGCTATTATATCATCTTCTGTCTGACTTTTTCTCTTTCTCCTCTGTCCTGGTCCTTGTAGGTTGCTAATTAGAAGTTATCTCCTGAAATGGATATTATCTCATGACAAGCAGATATTGTCAACCATAATGAGATGACATGGTATTTGTACATTTAGCAGAATGTGAAGGATTAATTTGGTCAAATTATGGAGTATAATTTCTGTGTGACTTTATTTTTTAACTCAGCAGGTACTCAGTGAGGACTCACTATGTATGTGGGCCATTTTGCTAGTTATTAAGGATACAAAGATTCCTACTTATTTCTGCTTACAAAGTTCTTCCTTATTTGAGGGGGGTAGTTAGAAATGGCAAGAAAGGGTGTAATCAGAGTAATACGTTATCGAATAGAGCTTATTATCTCGAATTATGTTTCATAGCAAAGATAAGAGGCCTGGAGTGAGTATTTGAGTCCAAGTTGTGAGCAGGGAACAGACTCCATTTTCAAGGATGTTCTTTGTTCTACCTGGGATATTGTGGAGGGATGCATTAACTACTTGTTGGGAAACAGGACTTTAGGAGGCATCTGCATATCCTTTTTCCTGTAAGTTAGCCCTTGGGGGAAGAGTTTCAGGGTCTTGATATAAATAAAGCCATGCTTCCTGGAAATTCTCTTTGTTCTTCTACTTAATCTCTGTTAAAGCAGAGGCAATCTTTGTATTGTGAGACTCACTTTCTTTGCACTAAAGTTGTACACTAACCTTCATGTTTTTTCTGTGGTGTTCATTGTGACCACTGTGCCCAAGCAAGTCACTTTTGGGAGATTTTTAACTCCTTGGGCACTTTTCTGTGTTCTCAGCCTTCAGGCACCCTTGGTCTTCAGGTGAAGGTGGACAGATGGGTGTCTGCCTTCTCTTGGTCTCTTTATTTAATCACTATGTTGGTAGTAGCTTCACTTATTTTTATGTCAGTGTTGCTTAATGACCTTGATCTAAAAAGATGGGCTACTTAGAGATCCTTGCTAGTTTGAAGTCTGACCGTGAACCTCCATGTTTCATCAAAACTTTAAATAATACTACATTTTGGTGACTTGTTTCTGCCCTTTCTACAGACATGCGAAAAGAAGCACAATTAACACTGAAGATGTGAAGCTCTTAGCCAGGAGGAGTAATTCACTGGTGAGAGATGAATTTCTTTCCTCACTCCCCTTTCCCATCAGAATACATTATTCCCAATTAATCACTTGAAGCCATGAAGTTATTCCCCAGGGCACCTTGCATTAAAAACTAGAGATGGTCGAACCATTCCGACCTGCCTGTAATTTATAGTCTTTCTTTCATTAAGATGGATCTTGCTAAGCCAATTTGAAATTTTCTAATCAGCACTCCCTGGATTTCATAATTTGCCTTTTTTGTAATATCTCAAAACTTTGGTCCCATGTTTCATTTACAACATGATGTCAGAGACTGGTCACAGGCTGGAGTCTGTGGGGATAGTTTTGTTATGGTGTTCACAATTTCCCGATGGGCCAGGCATGGAAGGAGTATCTATGTGGCTGAATGTGCAGGAAAACCATACTTTTTTTTTTTATCTTTTCAAGTCTTGAAATCACCTTGACCAAGCCCTCATTTTCCAAGTGAAGACACTGGCACCCAGAGATGCCATGATCATCCCAGGCTAATGGCTGTGGCCCATGGCAGATCCATGACACTGGGGAGGTTTCCTGACTCAGTCTAATGCTCCCAGTTAGAACACTTATGGCTCTCTCTATAACGTGGGCTACACAAGGGAGAGATTGTTTTGTTGTTCTGTGCTCCATCTGTGTTGCCTAGAACAGTGCCTGGCACATAGGAGGGGCTCAATAAAGATGTTGAATCAATGAATTTGTATAGCTTGTATAGCACTTTACAGTTTACAGGAGCTTTTTTTTTTTTTTTCTTTTGAGATAGGGTCTTGCTCTCTTGCCTGAGCTAGAGTGCAGTGGCATCATCATAGCTCACAGCAATTTCAAACTCCTGGGCCCAAGCAGTGCTTCAGCCTTAGTCTCCCTAGTAGCTGGGACTATAGGCACGTGCCACCCTCGCTAATTTTTCTATTTTTTTGTAGAAATGGGGTCTCACTGCTATGTTCAGGCTGATCTCAAAACTCCTGTCTTCAGGTGATCCTCCTTCCTCAGCCTCCCAAATTGCTGGGATTATAGGCATGAGCCACTGTGCCTGGCCTATAGGGGTTTTATAGATATTATTTTAGTTATATTATTTAATCCTCACAACTACCCTGTACTTTTTTTCTTTTTAATGATAAGGTCTTGCTCTGTTGCCCAGACTAAAGTGCAGTGGCATGGTCATAGTTCACTATAGTCTCAAATTCCTGGGCTCAAGCAATCCTCCCACCTTCAGCCTCCTGAGTAGTTGGGACTACAGGCATGCGCCACCACACCCAACTGATTTTTCTATTATTTATAGAGATGGAGTCTCACTATATTGCCCAGGCTGGTCTTGAACTCCTGGTTTAAGTGATCCTCCCACCTTGGTCTCCCAAAGCACTAGGATTACAGGTGTGAGCCACCACGCTCAATCTGTTTTTATTTTGGACTCTTAATTTTTCCATCTAACAGAACCTCATGCTTAAAGAGAGTACAGCTAACTTTGTGCATCTAAGTCCTCATGAGGGCATGGACTTTGTCTTATTTACCTTTTATCTCTAGTACCTGGTACATAGTAGTTGCTTAGTAAATTTTAGTTGCATAAATTTAGGGAGTTTTTTGAGACAGTGTCTCTCTGTTCCCCAGGCTAGAGTGCCGTGGTGTCGGCCTAGCTCACGGCAACCTCAGACTCCTGGGCTCAAGCGATCCTCCTGCTTCAGCCTTCTGAGTAGCTAGGACTACAGGCATTCACCCAGCTAAATTTTTTTTTCTATTTTTAGTTACTCGACTAATTTTTTTCTATTTTTTAGTAAAGACATGGTCTTGCTGTTGCTCAGGCTTGTCTCAAACTCCTGACCTCAAGCAATTCTCCTGCCTTGGCCTCCCAGAGTGCTAGGATTACAGGTGTGAGTCACCATGCCTGGCCAATTTAGGGGGATATTGATTATACTTATGCTTTGTAGAGTTTATTTGTGATTGGCATGCCTTATACAACTCCAAATCTTTAATGCTTTTGATTATTTAAGGAACTCTTGCATTGAAGCATACTGCTTGGAAGATATGTGAATAGTAATGAGTTGATTTTTGTAGTTGCTTCGTTTTTCTAAATAACAATTTGTAGTTGCATTTAACTCTAAGAAATGTAACCCAGGCTTTTTCACACAAATTTGTTGGGTGGGGGTGGTTGGGGAAGGTATAGTTATTTATATTTTTTAGGTTTATAAAATGATTTACAACTAGATTTAAATATAGGGTTTTTTTTTTGTTTGTTTGTTTTTTTGGTAGCTAAAGTACATCACAGAGAAAAGTGAAGAGATTGCTCAGATTAACCTAGAACGAAAGACAAAGAAGAAAAAGAAGTTAGAGGATGAAAACAAAAATTTAAATGAGCCATCAGAGGCTGGAGCAGACGAAAGTGAGAGTTAAACTCTCTCAACATCTGGAAAATGCAGTCTTCAGCAGGTAGAGCCACCTAGTAATGTGTATTGTCACAAAGGTAATTTTGAAGGGATAAGTAGAAATTAAAAAATAAAAAAGGCTGGGCAGCTTTTTTGTCCTGTATTCTCCAAGTCATTAATTGCAAAAGCTGGTTTAAAAGAGAACTGGAAACTCTTAACTAAAATACTCCCATAACTCACCGAAGCACACAAAAAAGGCATGTGTTTGAATGGTACATATTGGAAATGATATCTATTCCAATTAATAAAATGTGCTAGCAATTAAACATGGTTGACTTTTTCAAGCAAAAATCATAGTTATTTCTATATTCTTTGACATAATTTTCTAGGCTAAATGACAATCTCCAACAGATGAATAAAGCCATATTTATTTACCTCTTCTGATTATTAATTTTTTTTTTTTTTGAGACAGTCTCGCTTTGTTGCCCAGGCTAGAGTGAGTGCTGTGGCGTCAGTCTAGCTCACAGCAATCTCAAACTCCTGGACTCAAGCAATCTTACTGCCTCAGCCTCCTGAGTGGTTGGGACTACAGGCATGTGCCACCGTGCCCGGCTAATTTTTTCTGTATATATTAGTTGGCCAATTAATTTCTTTCTATTTATAGTAGAGATGAGGTCTCGCTCTTGCTCAGGCTGATTTTGAACTCCTGACCTCCAGCAATCCGCCTGCTTCGGCCTCATAGAGTACTAGGATTACAGGTGTGAGCCACCGCGCCTGGCCTATTAATGTTGTTTTTAAACACATGCTACCTGTGATCACCAGGTAAAAAGCTGTATGTTGGGGAATGGTCCTTTTTACTTTTTAAAGGTGATTTTCTCCAGAAACACAGTTTATATGACTTTTCTCTGGGTATTTTGTGATTAAACTATGGTTCTGCCGGGCAGTAGTTTTGCTTGAGGGGAAAATCTGGGACAGCTATTCCAGAACACTTCAATGTGCTGTCCTCTATTTTAGTTTATAAGAGACGGTGCTCCGAGAGCATGATTCTGCTGTCTTCTCATGTCTTTGGGATTTCTAGAGATCCAGGCATGCCTTTCTTTTATAGGGAAATAGAGTAGAGAAAAGGACGGGCATTTACAGAGCCCATTCTGTGCACCAGGTACTACCCCAGGTGTTCCATATTTTCCTCACTGGCTCTTGACAACTTTATCAGGGCAGATCTGATTCTCCCCATTTTCCTGATGTGCAAACTGAAGCTGGATGAGGTTAAGCAGCTGCCCAGGATCACCAGGCTATTGATCAGTAGAGACAGCATTCACATTTGGGGCTGCTGACTCTAGAGTGGGCAAGAGAGAAAAGGGCACATATTTTGGGTAGAATTTATACCATCCATGCTCAAATATGGTCAGCAAAAGACACCCCAAAGCCTTACTCTCAAAGGGAAGTGCTAAGCTATGGACATGGTAAAGCACTGAATTTAAACTTTATGGTTTCAGGTCTGTAAATGATTAATCATTTGATCTCATATTAATTATAATATCTGTGTGTCACATCCATGAAAGAAAAGTGAATCATAAAGCCTTCCATCCTTATAGTACATTCAGCCAAAGACCCATATATTAGCGGTTTTATTTTTGGACAAGTTCTCTTTAAACTCCTCAAGAATAGTTTAGGGAATAGTTACTGTGGATTTTCCAAAGGTTGATACATCTAGATTTGCATCTTGGGTTTGTAACTCTAACAGCTGTATGACTTGCTGAAGCTTTGTGCTTTTACCAATGAAACAGGGTCAAAAGTCCCTTGCAATGAGATTGTATGTGGCAATAAAAGGAAATGAGTAGAATCATTGTATCATGTTATTTTTATAGATTTCTGTAGTTTCTGAATCTCAGTATACACGTGACTTCGCAGTGGTGAGCCTTCGTGTGCCATGGGTGTCCTGCCTGATAAGATATATGAATAGCAATGAGTTGATTTTACTGGGACCTCCTGGTTGGTGTGGGTATTTTGATATGAAGTTTTCTAGCCACATGAGAATACTGACTTGACATTTATGTAATCTTCTGGTTTATTTGGCATACTTATGTATGACCTGTGTATGTTTTGGACAAGTGGTCTTATGACGCATTTTTCAAGGATTGTAACACAGGGAGGTCAGACTTCATAAGGAATAGCTGACTCCACTCCCCTTATTCTTGTGAGCTGCCTCTTCCCCTGCATATTGCAATTAGGGTTTAGTTTATTCTGGAATGTCCATGGTTATCTACGTCATCCTTTACAATTCCATCCTTGGTGACAGATGGCAGAAAGGACTTCTGGAGGGCTCTTCATTGTAGGCTTGCTTCCTCGGAGTTTTAGAAGCTCATCTGTGCTTTCACTAGACCTACAGATGATTAACCATACAAAGAAGTATATGTCTTTGAAATAAATGTGACGTGGTAACATAGTTAGAGGCAATTTGCATTTAAAATATTGTCTCCTACTTACACAATTACTGAAAAAGCTTGAAATAAAAGAGCCTGTGTTAATTTAGTATTACTGACTTTACTGGAGCCAGAGAGGTTTCAAAGCATCTTCTTCTGTATATAGCGGCAGCTGGAATGCACGGGGAAAGATCTATACTGGGCTTGTATATAGCTGATATCTTAAAATCCAGATGTCTAAGAAAGGTTAATCGGTCGGGGACGCTGATTCCCTTTGCTGAATTATGGAATCTTATAGAGAACCCTTAGAGATCATTTAGTGCCATCTCCCGCCCCCCCCCCCATAGGAACCCCTTTTACAGCATTCCTTATATATGGTTCCCACGCTGCTGAACTCCTCCAGGGATGGAAAGCCTTTTCTATTATTGGACACTAATTGTTACAAGTTTCTTCCATATATAAAGAAAAGTCTTCAACCTTCTAACTTCTATCTAGGTCCTAGTTCTTCCCTTTAGGATAAGTAATCTTTGTTTTTCAAAATAATTCAGTAATGAGTTCCTTTTAATCCAAGTTCCCATTCATTAATTTTTCAGAAACACATTATTGAATAAAACATTACATTATGAGCTCTGGGAGGGCAGGCCTTCAGGTGGTGAGCAGTGACCCCTCAGTGCCTTGTGTAGTGCCTGGCACATGGTAGGCACCCTGTGAATACTTGTCCCCTGTGGTTGAGATGTGCTGGTGGAGTGGGTAGGAGCCCTTGCTTAGGTTATATGGCTCTAATCAGGGGTTTCCAACATTTTGTAGTAAGGAGCTCTTTTTTTTTTTTTTTTTTGAGACAGAGTCTTACTGTGTGGCCCAGGCTAGAGTGCTGTGGCGTCAACCTAGCTCACAGCAACCTCAAACTCCTGGGCTCAAGAAATCCTTCTGCCTCAGCCTCCCGAGTAGCTGGGACTACAGGCATGCGCCACCATGCCCGGCTAAGTTTGCTTTTTTTTAAATGTATGTATTTTTAGTTGGCCAATTAATTTTTTTCTATTTTTAGTAGAGACGGGGGTCTCGCTCTTGCTCAGGCTGGTTTCGAACTCCTGACCTTGAGCGATCCACCTGCCTCAGCCTCCCAGAGTGTTAGGATTACTGGCATGAGCCACCACACCTGGCCTAGGAGCTCTTCTTTACACAGTTGGGGGAGTAAGTGATTGAGGATGTCTTCTGAATAAGAATTCGTGATATTGAGTACCTACTGTGTGTTCTGCTTACAATAGGTGTTTTACATGATCTCATTTGGTTCTTACACCACCACTTAGGAGGTAAGTAGTAGGTACTGTTTTTATCCCCATTTTATAGAAGAGGAAACTGAGGCCACACAGAGGTTGATGAAATGGCAAAGCCAGGATGTTAGTCTAGAGCCTGCACACCTTGAAGTACTAAGATGTTGCCACCTTCTTGATATGGTCCTTATCAGCGCTCACGAAGCCTTCCCCAGCCTGCAGCGTGTAACCCTCCTTGGCACACTTCTTGTCCCACTGAAAATGTACTTATCTTTCTTTCATTTCTTAACTTTCTTTCATTTGTACTTATGTATCCTACCCCTCCTAGGCTGTGACAGCTGTCAGGGTGTGGGTGGAGGGGGTCCATGGTATACCATACTCGTGGTATGCGAGTTCTATGTACATACTGGGTGCTCAGCATATTCAACAAGCCCATTGAATAAAATGTGCTAAGGATATAAGAAGCTGGCTGAGCTACTGCAAATTTACTGGCACAGATACCCCCAAATTTTTAGTCTCATTTATAGGAATTATTTTAGGCAAAAAATAATTGGTGGAGAAAGGACTAAGCAACATAAGTGTGTAAGCCACAGGTTGTCAGGCCATGCGGCTTTTACCTAGAATCTTAAACTAATCAAGCAGAAAGACTGTGACAGATGAAATTCAGGACTGAGATTTCCCTTGTGGAGGGGTGTGAACCAGGACTTTGGGGAACAGAAAATGAGTATGTTTACTTCTGGGAAGAGCCCTCATTTCTTTAGTTACTTTATTTCATTTATAGCCTTCCTTGGATGTTGGTCACTTCTGGCAGGTTTGGGGTGGGTGTTTCAGATTTTACTAGCTGTCTCAGTGGGGTGAAGGAGCCTGTGCCTTTGTCTGTACGATTCTGAAACTGGGACCTGTGAGGGAAAGCCAGGAGGTGGCCCAGAGAGGGAATTCACTGCATTTCTCATCAGTGGCGCTGTCATGGGGGGAGAGTGAGCCCTGGGGCCAGCCAAGCACAGGTCAGGGCACTGCTTCTCCAATTGTGACTGTGACCTACAGTAGCGGTATGCCTTACACCTCACACATACACACAACCTGAAGCATTATCTATCCTTATTACACATGATGCACTCTGACTTCTATTTCATTCAAAAAGAAAACAAAAGAGCTGGTCTGTGATCCAGGAGCAGGTGGTCAGCAGCAGTGTGGAAAGCGCCGGGCCAGGCCTGGCAGCCTCAGAGCAGCCTCACCTGGAACTTGCTGGAAACTCAGGCGCTCAGTTTCTCCCCACACCCACTACACCTGAATCTGCATCCCAGGTGATCGTGTGGGCTTTCCAGTTTGGGAAGGCCTGGCCTGGAGGACAGTGGGTCTGGCCTGTTGGGCTGGGAGGCAGTGCTAGGGGACAGTCATGTGGGTCATCCTTGCCTGTGATTTGGTGAAACCAGTGGATGCTTTCGGAGTGTCTGAGCCCTCATTGCCTCCTTGTTTCTTCTGCCTGTAGCAGATTCAGTCATACTTTTATATGGGCACAATTTCACATTTAAGCTCCTTATCCAAGGCTAATTTTATATTATGTTAAATCACTTGTTTTTGTTCTCGTGGCTTCCTGCTTGCTATAGGCATAATTACGAGGAAGCAGAACTCTTCAGAAACAAGCACACATGCATTCCAAAATAAGAGAAAATTCACCCTCCACACAGGAAAAGACCTGAGGCTTTAATTAACGGGTTAAATCCAATCCCAAAGCGCTTTTGTGGGCACTGATTGCTCAGGCTTATGCGTCAAGAGGGGGTACAGGCTTTAGACATGTATAGACACACACACACAAAAAAAACAGCTGGAGTTTGAGCTTAAAATACCCCTCAGTCTCCAAAGAAGAGGCCCCAGTCTACGAAACGTTGACTTCAGGGCTGTAAGGAGGAAGGGCAGCCGCAGAGAGAAGCGCCGCCTGCAGGATGCCGCTGCCCGGGGGCCTCCTGTTGCTGCTGCTCTTGGGGGCCATGGCCACCGCTGCCCTGCCCCTGGAGGGCGGCCCCACTGGCCAAGACAGCGGGGTGAGTACAGCGGGGCGAGACAGCTCAGCCGCACACTAGCCCACTCCCTGTCTGTCTCTTTTGTTAACATTGTTGGCCATGCCTGTGGAGTCCCCAGCATCTGCATGGGAGTGTGTGTGCATGCGTGGGTTGCTATAGGACAGGGCGCAGGGCTGAACTTTGTAGCATCCTTCCCGGCTGGCCATTGGTACTGTGACTTTGCATTCAGACCATTGATTCTCATTTACCTTCACTCGTCCCAACCCATGAAGTTTGTTAGAAACCTCTGCAGCTCAAGGTGAGCCTTGTCATGCCAGCGCGCTCCGTCTGCCAGTCCCAGAGACGTTAAGTGATTGTTCTAGTCTATTATAGCACAATCGTGGAGCTGCAAATGCCCATATTAGTCACATGGACTTCCGGAGCCTTAATTTATATAGAGAGCACATGTTCTCACTGGCTCAGATTAATTGACATCATTACATTTTTCCACTGTAAGAATTTGTAACTTCATGAGGTGATTTATTTTTCTTTTTTCCATTTTGAAAAAGTTCCAAGAAAGAGTACATGAAGTTGACCATTATAAATGGATTTTTCTCTGAAATTACCAGATGAGTTTCAGACAGGCCATTTATCATCAGATTACTCCTAGAAGCTTTCTAAGGAACTTGAAATAGCAGAATGTAACGTCTCAATCTGATTTGTGTCAAAGAGCAACTTGTGGACATCCAGGTGTGTCCAAAGATGGGGAAAATGAGCTAAATTAGCCTGATCTACCTCCGGGGTGTCTTAGTTGCCAGTCACTTGTTGGGGGAAAATGACAGATTTCCTGACCTCTTCTAATTAAGGAACTCAGCAAAGATTATGGGGCAAAACCAGCAGTTTTTTCCCCTTGACTGAAAATTATCTTTTTCCTTTTTTCTAATTGGAGCAATTTCTTTAAGGTATTCTTTTAGTTTTCCCATCCTTTAAATGGAGATGTGATTTATTGTTATGGGGCATCTTTTTTTTTTTTTTAAGTGAGGCATTGTGTATATTTTAATGCTGGCTGAGCCAGACTGTTGATTTTGCTTTCCGTTGCCATCTGCTTCTCTTTAAAAGCGTATACAGGAAGTGGCAGAAATAAAGAAAAGCAGCCTTTTGACTTTCCTTGCTTGGTGGTACGAGTGGACCTCCCAGGCCAGCGCCGGGCCCCTCAGGGAAGGGGAAGCCAGGGAGGTGTCCAAACGGCAGGAAGGCCGGCCCCTTCAGCAGTCCACGCGCCGAGATAAAACGCCCTGCAAGAATTTCTTCTGGAAGACCTTCTCCTCCTGCAAATAAAACTGCTCCCGTGATTACTCATGCAAACCGTGTACTGATGGACCTGAATAAAATGTGTTAAACAGCAGTGATCTTTCCTCTTTAGGTAGTTTCTTCTCCCCATGTCATTTGGAAAGTACTTTTTATTGAAATTCCAATAGTGCCCAATACTGACAGTGTCTTGACTAACTTGGAACCCAAAGTGAACAATTCTGAAAAAGATTTTGTGATTTTGCTAGACCATACTCAATGCAGCCATTGGGCTTTCCTTCCAACCTTCATTATGGTGCTTGGAAGTTGTTACGTCTTTGATTTAAAATAGCTAAAGGCTACATAATTAAGAGTTCAGAATAACATCTTATTTCAGTTTATTTTTATATGAATTGTTTAATTTAAAAAATGTTTCCCTCACATTAAAAGAATTTTTAACATCGTGCTCAAAAGCAAAATGATTATTCATGTTTTAGCAAAAATTATTTTCAAAACAAATGTTATGCTATTAAACAGAAAACATCATGCTGACATGCTTATAAAAGTTATATTCAAACTTGCTGTTATGTACCGGTTTTAATTAGTAACTTAATATTAATTGGTTACAATTCTTTTTATGGATTATAGCTTCAGATTTGCTTTTCGAGAAATGAAGTCTATTTATAAAAGTGTTCTTTCGAACCAGATACAGTAAGCCATACTGCTGCCTAGCCTGTAGCCTGTTTGCTTCAACTTTTGATACCAGGATGTCCAAAGTCTCAGTATCTGAACTTTGTTCAGTGACAGATGGATATGTATTATGCATAATTGTCATATTAGTTTTCTCATTCCTCAGTAATTTCCAGGGAATAATGGTTAAACAGTAAGGAAGGGGAGCAATTCCATTTTCTGTAATGTAAGGCAGATGAACTGTTGAGCCCCACATGGTTAGGGGTAAACAAATCCCTCAATTTCAAAACATTTATCAAACTTTAATTTTCCCCCAAAGACCCCAAATGCTTGCTTGATTATACACATATTGTTTATGACTGTCGAATTGTAGACTCTAAAGGAAACTGCCAGCGTGAAGGTTTTTAGATGCTAAACTTTAAAGCCTAGAGATCCACACCTGGAGTTATGGAAAGTTTTCAAGGGTCAGGCCTAATATTGGGCAAACTAGCAAGGGCTGGCTGGCAGACACAGGCATATTATTCTGTTCTCTGGACGCCGGGGGGCAGACTCACTGGATGTGACTGCTGACCATCCTGTTCTGTTTTCCGCAGAGCTGAGCTCGTATTCATAATTACTAGCTGAATAAAGTATAATGTGATGGAAGAAACTTAATAGCATCCACATTTCCAAACACAGCAGCTTTAGGAGACCAGTAATTGGGTCAGTGCACTGGGTGGAAGATGCCTCCCTGAAAGGCCAGCTAACCTTCAGAACTTTGTCTTTTAAGATTTTTCTAGAAGAAAATCATGCTCATTGTTTTTAAGTTTTTTAATTGGGGTGATAGATGCACACACTTCTTAAGATTGGGGATTTTGGCTTTTAGCTAAGTAGTTATCTGTAGGATAATGAGGCTGTACTAATGATACTGCCAGGAGATCCATCAAGTCTACGCCTATCTTCATTCAGGGGGCTTAATAAAATGTTAACTGGCATTGACTGCATGTTAGACCAGATTAATATGCTCATGATTAATAAATAAGCGTTAAATGGTAATTTCCTACCATCGGGTTTTTGCTAGACTTTTTTGTTGTTGTTAAGAGACAGGGTCTCCTTGCTTTGTTGCCCAGGCTGGAGTGTAGTGGCACGATAATAGTTTACTGTAACCTTGAAGTCCTGGGTTTACGTGATCCTCCCACTTCAGCCTCCAAAGTAGTTGGGATTACAGGTGTATGCTACCATGATTATTTTTGGTAGACTTTTCTTTTTCTTTTTTGAGACAGTCTTGCTCTGTTGCTCCAGCTAGAGTGCCGGGGCATCAGCCTAGCTCACAGCAACCTCAAACTCCTGGGCTCAAGCGATCCTCCTGCCTTGGCCTCCCCAGTAGCTGGGACTACAGAGGTATATGCCACCATGCCTAGCTAATTTTTTCTATTTATAGTAGGGACGGGGTCTCACTCTTGCTCAGGCTGGTCTCTAACTCCTGACTTCAAGCGATCCTCCTGCCTCAGCCTCCCAGGGTGCTAGGAATACAAGTGTGAGCCACTGTACCTGGCCTGGTAGACTTTTCTTAAACTCTTCCTCTCTGTAGTTTAGTATAGTCAGGTGTGTAGATGTGGGTCATCAGGCCCTGGACAAGGTCAAATTCATTCTCTTGTTATTATTTCTAGTATTTGGCACCAGAATAGATCCTTAAATGCTGAGGATGAATTGAGGACAAGCATTTGACAGAAATCCCTTCATAGTATTCCTATTTCAGGTCTGACAGCAAAGCATTCCAGGTTTTTGGAAACTCAAGGGAGATACTTAACTTGATTTAAGCAGTACCTGCTGCATTCAGGGGTTGTCTTAACAACAGTAGCTTTTTCAGTAGAAAAATGGATTCCATTCGGAACAAATCAGAAAAGGGAACATCATTTAGGTATTAAAAAGGAAGAAATTCTCTGTTTCTAGACTAGAAGAGGCAAAGGAAAGCTGGGCAATGTACTATTTCTAACTTATAAATAATGCTAATAAAACAGTAATTTATACTTTCCATTTACATTTTAAACATTAATAGTTAAGTGATCAAAAATATTTGTCTTATTTTTTTTCCATTACCAGAAACATCATGGAAGATGTCTTATTAAAATAATTATAAGCTGGAGGAAAAGGTAGAATTTTTTGGTGATAGTTCTTTTAAAATAATACTGAAAAATACTAAAGAAAATCTAGTATCTATGCATTAACCTGTTGGTTCACTTCCTTGTAACTGCACAAGTGTTGTCTTTTTTTAAAATGTTTTAAAATCTCTGTGATCCAAAAGCCTTGGGAACAAGTGTTGTTTTGTCTCATTTAAGCAAATAGCGAACTTTAAGGGCCTACCACCTGAAAATGCAATGTATCACTTCTCAGCCTTTTGGCTAAGATTAAGTGAAAATGCAGCGTACCTCCTGGGGAGTGAGCCTGTCCCCCTCCTGGAGATTCTCAAACGGGACGGAGGACCTCACTGTCAGAGATGTGTAGAGGACTCAGGCAGCGGATTGGTGGTCATACTAGATCCCTCCCAAGGTCCTTAAAAACCTCAAGTAGAGCTGAGTGTGGCAGCTCACACCTGTAATCCCAGCATTTTGGGAAGCAGAGGCAGGAGGATTGCGCAGGAGGATTGCTTGAGGCCAGGAGTTTGAAACCAGCCCGGGCAACATAGTGAGACCCTGCCTCTACAAAAAAATAAAAAAGTTAGCCAGGCATGGTAGCCTACACCTGTAGTCCTAGCTATTGGGGAGGATGAGGTAGAAGAATTGCTTGAGCCCAGGAATTTGAAGTTACAGTGAGTGAGGATTGTGCCACTGCACTCCAGTCTGGGCAACAGAGGAGCTAGATCCTGTCTCAAAAAAAACCCAAAAAACCCAGAACCTCAAGTGTATTAAGATACAGCCTGAATAAATAATTTAAGATAAAACTCTACAAATGAAATGGAGAAAAACCCTGAAGCCAAAAAATAAAATTGGATAATTATGAAATTAAACAGCTAAACAATCTGGTTAGTAAAGGCACATTAATCACATTAATAATCTTATAATTAATGCAGTGTTTTGTTTTTTTACAGACTACTATTATTTTATTCCTTTCTCTCTGGAAAATGAAAAATCCATTAGTTTTTTTCTTTTGCTTTTACCCAGAAATTAAAGGTTGGTAAGTGGTAATTAGCATAGCTCCTGTCAAAGCCAATTGCCTAATGGGGACCCACATTTGACTTAAGTTGAAAGAATGGAATATGGTTAATGTAGAGTTCATTAGCCCCAGCTGCTTTTTTTCACATTTTTTTTCTCCTACCATAAGAACAGGCATGCCCTGCTTGCTCGCTCTCTATTTTTAGATATATTGCTGTGCTGCCATGTTTCTATCCTACACGTTCTGGAGGGAATGTAAATGGTACTGGGGACAGTATGATATGTTTGCAACTGCTGTCACTACACATCTGGGCTAGAGTTTGCAGTAGTCTTTGCCTTACTGACTTGTTGATAGGGTCCTCCTGCACCCCAGCAACAAAAGGGAAGCACTCTCTGCTTGTCTGCTATGTACTAGGTTCTATGAACTTTAACTCCTTCAACCTTGGGGCCTTAGGCTAACCTACGGTCCCAAGAGGTTAGACTCAATGTTTATCTCTTTCCAAAACCTATAGTACCTTTTCCATTATCCTATCCAGTAGAGGTGCTTGGCGGGTTTGTTTCAAGTACGGAATACCAACACCCAGACCTGTCAACTAAAGCTTTACTGTGTATTTGACAGAAATATTTTAATTTAGGAGGGCAAACATGAAGGAGTCAATCTAAATGGTGAATAGAGATACCATTCTGTATTTCCGGAATCTAGTTTGCTACTGTGTAAACTGTAAGGTGAGTTCACCGAGGTTTATTTGCTGCTTGACACCAGCACGACTGCCAGTAGAAAGGTTTTGGCAGTTATAGTATAGACACACGAGGCCTTTCCCAGTTGGCAAGGCTGCCAACTTATTACATGGGGTATAAGAAAACCAGTGGTCTGGGTATAGAATTGAAAAATGTGTGGACCTAAGAGAAAATACAGAGAAGTAGGAAGAGTGCTGGAGTTAGAACCAGAAGACCTGTTTTTGATTCCTGGTCCTTCTCAATAGCCTTGTGACATGAGGCAAGTCCCTGAACCCAACTTTGCTCATGTATGCAACAAAGGATGACAAGCCATGCCCTGCCTCACTCACCTGGTTTTGTGAGGCTCAAATGTGTTAAGTGCCAACACACAACAGACTACAGACTGTTAGAAAAATCCTTGATGGGCATTACTGTCCCTCCAGGGGTGTTTTGGAAATGTGTGGACACTTTTAGTTATCTCAGTGACTGGGTTACTACTGGCATTGGGTGGGTTAGGTGGTGGGATACTAGTTTTTCTGCAATGCACAGGACAGGAAGAATTGTCCCACATCATGCATGA